TCTAGTTTCAGTGTGCAATCTGATGATGTGGTTTTGCTGGTTGTGTTGACAGTACTGAAGCTAAGTTGAATTCTCACTATATCTACGTTGAATTTTGCTAATGCTTCTTGGGTTAATTGCAGGAATGGGAACTGAAGTGCAGTCGAAGATGTATTTCCTGGGATATTGTTCCATACAGAATCTAAGCAGCAATGTCGGCCATGGGAGCTGGTCCCTACTCCACGAGAACACAAACTTTAAGAATGGGCAGCAATACGAAGTGTTCTTGACAGGGCCAGTTATTGATGGATTTCACGGACGCGATAAGGAGCAACTGATGCAAAGTATTCTGAAGCATGAGACAATTTTCAGGCATCAGGTCTATATTCTAGAACCAACATCTATTGAGTTCTAAAGTGTAGTAATGGTCATAGATCTTATGGTAGTATTTAGAAAGATTGAATAACGGTTTTATATTGGTAAGAAAGTGTTTAACTTTGAGTGCTCAAATTCGTTAGCCAGTAGTATAATGCCTTTGCCTTTGTCTGTGATTTTCTTATTCAGCTCAATGAATTCCATCGTCTTTACGAAAGGCAAAAGGACCTGATGAACGACATCAAAAGCATAGAGCTGCTCAAACATCAAAAGGTGGCAGGGTCATAATCAACTTTCTCATCATCCGGCTTTCCAACTGGAGACGACAGAAAGAGTTGGTCCATTTATGGTAGACAATCTAAATCGAGTACTTGTATCAGCCACTCTCCTTGCGATTCTATTGGAAAAACCCTGCAAAACGGCGGGGTCCCCAGCCAAAGTAGAGTAGGGATGAAGGACCACGAATCTTCGGATTCCAGAGTGAAGAAGCCTAGAAGAAGATTGTTCAATCTGGTGGGAGTTGGCAGTCAGGTTCGTCCCAAAGAAATTCCGGTAAGGGTAGTAGGGGAAGGGGGAGGAAGCGTTTGGGAAGTTCCATCTACTAATGTGGCCTAGGAGCTGCAGGGACCTGAGGAGAGAAACTTAACCTGTTGGGGTACGAGGACAAGGCGTCCACGACGGCAAAGATATACGATTGATAATTCTCCTGTTCCTCAAAACTAAACATGGAGAGCGGTCCTTTCCATAGAGATATAGAAGCGCATCGGAGTAGAGCTAACGTGCATGGATCTTCCCTCGGATTTTTTAAGCCGTGGAGTTGTAATTGTACACAAGTTATGCCAAATTGAGTCATCCGTAATTTGGTTTCCGGTATTCTGAGTGAACTTGTATGATTAATCAAAATAAGTTTACATAAGAATTTGTTGAACTGAGAGAGTGTAACATAAACTGCATGAGCCTTCGAGCCCAGAACAATGGGTATCCATGCTGGTGCGCTTAACCACAAAGTTAGGAAGAAGTCCAGTACCTAACGTTGATTTTTGCATCCATTTCTCTGAAACTCTTTCATTCACGCACGTCACCGGCATCTCAGTTCGGTGAAAGTCTGAACTCATACAGAGAATGTTGCATCTACTCTCCTCTTCATTTCGTCACAAGCAGATTGTAAAGTATAAGACAAACATACACAGTAACTTTCTTTTTGGTTTTCAAATTCCAGGTCCAAGTTATGGATCAAAGCAGTTTTGTTTCCAGCCATAACCACACACCTCCAGGGCTGGCCTTGAGAATTTGGGGGCCCTAGGCGAGCCTTTGAAATGGGGCCCTAGAGTTCTCTAACTCTCGATTATTTGTACATTGACATGTGTAAAAAATAATTCACTAAATACATGAAAAGTCTATTTCTACATCAAATATCATTAAAAATTAATATCAAAAGAAAAAAAATATACAAACATTACTCAAATATTAGTATATTACCCGTCTCGCATTTTTAGATGCAAATGCACTTATTAAGTTTACATAATCTAATTTTTCAACCAATTCAAACCGAAAGAGAAGTCCCTACCCGGTACGCCAAATTCCAATCATTTTTCTAGTGTTACAATGTGACTTATTACATTCAATAAATGAATTAATGGTTGGATTACAGAGACAACATCTTACAACTAGGAAAAATACTAGTGTGAAGAGGATAGTAATTTTCGTATACGTGCCTAGGTGGACGAAACGGAATTGAATAATTTATTATATATTATATAAACTAATTAATTTGAACATTTAATAATGTAATTTTTCAAAAAGGTGAGAGTTTTAGCCCTTTAGATACATAATAATGATATATGTGGTGTGATCTTAAAATAGGGTAATAAAACCCCATAAAAATAAACATAAAAGTGATATTTAAGAGAGAAGAAAAAAAATAAAAATAAGATGGTGGGGACTATTTAAGGGGGATAAAACGTGCAGATATAAAAAAAAGATGGTGGGACCATCTTAAGTAAAATCGTGCAATTAAAATGATGTTGGAAATAGGGTTGTCTTCTTCCTCACACGAGGTCGACCCTGCAACAAAAGATTTCCAAATTCCGGCTTTTATATATAAGCCTGCATAGCTCCTGTCCATCCTCGTCCAGACCCACCTAACTCCGCCTAAAAATTGGGGGCCCTTTTGAAGTGGGGGCCCTAGGCGGGCGCCTACTCTGGCTACCCTTAGGGCCGGCTCTGCACACCACCTCCTCAACTCTCTCTCTTTATATTACTTGTAGTACAAGAAAAAAATGCCTCTTCCCATATGCATAATGGATGCAAAAAGTTAATATATTCATCCTCTATTCCAACATTTAGAAATGTAATTACAAAAGAATTGTTCGGGTTTAACATTTAGAAATGTAATTACAAAAGAATTGTTCGGGTTTCCATTTTAGTGTACTAGGAAAAAAAAAAACACTCTAACTGTAGTATCCCACATCGCCCGTGAGGGCGTGGTCTTTGGGCCTTATATATCCATTGCCAGCATGTACCTTTCAGTGAGGCCTTTTGGAGCTGCGGCTTGCAAGGACAAAACCGTGAGGTAGCCCTCTGCTGCGACCTAGTCCAGAGGGGGAATGCCAAAGCGGACAATATCACTGCGAGGGAGGGCTGGGATGTGACAATTTGATATCAGAGCCAGACTCACGGTCGTGGTGTGCCGACGAGGACGTCGGGCTCCCTAAGGGGGGTGGATTGTAGTATCCCACATCGCCCGTGAGGGCGTGGTCTTTGGGCCTTATATATCCATTGCCAGCATGTACCTTTCAGTGAGGCCTTTTGGAGCTGCGGCTTGCAAGGACAATACCGTGAGGTAGCCCTCTGCTGCGACCTAGTCCAGAGGGGGAATGCCAAAGCGGACAATATCACTGCGAGGGAGGGCTGGGATGTGACACTAACATTAACTAATAACAAATAAGAAAGGAAGTCGAGGATATTCCTCTTAAATTCATTGCATCTCGGATTCACATTATTCTTCTCGTTTAGTATAAAATAATAATTGTTTGTAATAAAAACAAACAAGACAAATGATGCAATGGTACATTTGGTAATGTTTTGAATGATGCAAGACAAATGTTGAAGTCTCTACAGAGTTGGAAGGCCACTTTTGGTGGACGTGAGACAAACAAGGTGGCACATCGGCTTGTGAGATTGGGCTTATCTTTGGATGATCAAATTGCATGGTTTAAAGAGCCATCTGATGTAATTTTTTATTTACTTTTTGAGGATAGTAGTATTATTTAATTTAGAGGTGCGTGATGCTTTTTTCCCTAGAACCGGTTTGAAAATCCTGACAAGGTTTTTATCGATGCTCATTACTAGCACCCTATCCTCTTTGCTTGTATGATTTCTTTCTCATTAATGGAATATTGTACTTATTTCAAAAAAAAAAAAAAAAAAACAAACAAGAAATTAAAAAATATTTAAACAACAACCACAATGTCATAAAAATGAAAAATTGTCCGATTTTTTTTTTAATTTTTTAAATTTAATGGAAACTGTACACAAATAAAATGCAATGTCCAATATTCACTGCATTTTAGCCACAATTTTCACTTTTAGTGGATACGCGTGTCATTTGGGATGGTTTGTAGTCTAGCCAGGAGTTTCGAAGAAGTAGTCCTACTTCCTATTCATACACCATTACCATTAAAACCTGAGGATCTTGAAAAAAAAATTATTATTAAAATAATAACGTTCATTAAAACTTAAAGATCTTGACAAAAAATTGCAAAGAAATAAAGTTTTAATCAATAGAATAGAAGAAAGAGGGATTCATTGTGGAAAATGTCTTTCAATCTCAATAATACTCTTTAAGCTTTAATTTCAATAAGAAAGATTATATTTACATACTCCAAATTATTTTCTCATACCATTTTAATTTTTTAATATTTTTTACACATCAATAACACTTGATAGAAAAATATTAAAAAATTAAAAAGATATGGTAAAAGTAATTTAGAGTGTGTAATTATAATCTCCCTGTCAATAATCTTGCTTGAGAACAAATATTTGAAGGAATTAATGAAAAGTAAAAGTTAACAATAAGATGCTCTATGATGCGGATGCCGCTGGGCTTCATGTCACAACAAGATGATCTATGTGGCGATGGGTCCACAATTCCCCGCAACGCGGCTATTTCAACCCGGATTGATTGCTGAAAAATCAACAGCGCTAAGTCGCTGACCAATCACAGATGAACACCTAGCAAAAGGTACTTCTGCTGCTTTTTTCTGCAACCAAGTTGTACCCCTTTCTACGCCTATAAATATAAATATAAATCTAAATCAAAGAGGAGCTGACCAATCACGGATGAACACCTAGCAGGAGGCGGGGATGTCCGCCAAGTCGTTTCCTTCCTACGCCTATAAATATAAATATAAAATCAAAGATGGGCTGACCAATCACGGTTGAACACCTAGCAGAAGCGGGAACGTCCGCCAAGTGGTATCCTTCCTAAATATAAAATCAAAGATGGGCTGACCAATCACGGATGAACACCTAGCAGAAGGCGGGAACGTCCGCCAAGTCGTATCCTTCCTACGCCTATAAATATAAATATAAATATAAATCAAAGATGGGCTGACCAATCACAGATGGCAGAAGGAGGGGACCATGTCCGCCAAGTTGTATCCTTCCTACGCCTATAAATATAAATCAGAGACGGTCTTCTCTTCTATATACGCCGATTGGCCATATTCTTGGCCACAAATCTGTGTTGGAGTTTCTCTTTTGCCAGAATTTAAACAGAACAAAACAAAAAATAGAGCTCTCGGTGTTCGAAAAGAGAAACAGAGCTCTCGCGTTTGTGTGTGTGAAGGCGTGACGAGTCTTCGATCTGAATTTTGTTTTTGTATTCCTCTGCTCAGAAGTGTTATATATACGCAGATGAACCGTGTCCCAGACATTGCCATTAGCGTCCCTCTAGATTTCGAACTGGAAGGGTAAGTGTATACTCTGCTTGTAATTTTATTTTTATTTTTTATTTTTTGCCTGCCTTTAACTTGGCAAAAATGATGGGGAGACCAAAAAGAAATGATTACTTAGCAATTAATCTATAAAACTCAACTTTTGATAACTCTAGCATTTTTTTGAGAAATTAAGAGCGTGGAATGTCTAGAACTCTAGATCGATTCGTTATTAACAAACATTGAAGAAAATAGCAGCTAGCTAGGTACCCTGTTACAACATACCAACTTAATTAGTTGATTTCAGATGATATATTAACTTGATTAATTTATAGATATATATATATATATATATATATATATATATATATAGGGAAGGGATCCTCATTTTTCAAAAAAAATGGGAACTTCCTCTTGACCTTTAGATTTGGCTTTAATGAAATCTTGTAGTTGAGATTATGTGGCCTATGATTTAATCTCAACCATAGAATTTCATTAAAATCAAATCTAATGGTCAAGAGAGTGTCCCCAATTTTTTTGAAAAATGGGGATCCCTTCCCTTAAAGGGCCTGTGTGTGTGTATATATATATATATATATATCACACAATCTCACTTAGTTGATTTTAGAAGATATATTAACTTGATTAATTTATAGCTATATTGGTATGTGATGTATACGACCAATATCTAAAGAGATAAATTCATTAGTTAACGTGCTATGTACACCTCATTTGCCATATCAAATTATTATATATTGTAGATAATTCATTAATGTAATTCTATTTAATTTTCTCATTAACTATATATGTATAACAGCACAAGTGAAGAACGTTCTACAAAGGTGCATAAATATATATGTTCCTTCATCGCCATGCTAGGCGGTTTCCTCCAATTGAAGCAGGGAGCCAAAAATGAGTCTTTGTTCAACACAAACTACCCGGCTATGGTGTCCCTAATCATTGCGCTAACTGCTTATATCGGATCGCTAATTGGCTCTAGAATACTCCACGTGCAAGCTCACCCTAATTCATATTTGGCAGAATCAATCATCAATAAGATTAGCCTCCTCCTTGGAATTCTTGTCTTGATTTTAGAAGTGGTGATCCTTGTGCCAGGGTTAGGGCTAGTCGCTGGATTCTTTTGGGTTGTTTGGTTTGTGAAGGTTGTTGTTGAGTACGCCTGTGAATACCTCAAAACGTTGGATGAAAATGCAGTTGCATCAGTTCTTCATACATTTGGAAAATTGAAAGACTTTTTGAACATGATCATCCGACATTTCACAACAAAATCCAAAGAAGAAACTGATGAGCTTCCTCAAATAACTTCTACCACGGTTTAGATTTGGGTATAGGTTTGTGTTATTATTTTTTACTCGTTAATTTTTTATCTTATTTGTACTTGTTCATGACCAAAATTAGGAGTAGTTTCAAGTATAGAAGAGCAGCTAGGAAGCTAGATATGGATGTACTTACGCATGATGAGATGAAGAAGAAGGGGTAGTACTGCTCATAGCTACAAGAAGAGTCTCAACTGGTTGTATCATCATATTTAATTATTCATATATCGTGTTGTATAAGGTAAAAGCTCTTCCAGACGAATAAGAATCTATTACGAGCGTTTAAATCCAAAGCAAACCAAAAAGCATTTTTATTATATTAATAATGTTTTACGGAGCCGATGCGGTGGCAGAAAACCGAAAAGCTTTTTTTTTTATTTTTTATTAATAATGATTGTTAGATAGAGGTCCAAAGTCTTTGATATTCTGCAACATGCACATTCTCATTTGCTGACATTCTACAACACGAAGCTTCTCATCAATTTTCTTTCTTTCTACTAACCTTTTATTTATCACGGCTGCGGGCCCTTTTCTAATGTGTTTGATAAATGTATAAACGAAAATTACGTTAACTTTTAATTGTATGGCGTAGGTTACATTTTTTTTTTTTTTCAAACTATCATGATCAAATAATGATGATAAGTTTTTATACATTGATTCAAAACAAAAGATGAACAATATCTACACACAAAAACATAAAGTCTACTTGTAACGTGATAGTGTCGTTACCAAATCATAGTATTTTTAATCACGAATGTTAATTTTCAAACACCATGAATTTTATTCTTACCTTTTACCCACAACATCATCTGATGTACCATGAATTTTAATCTTACTGTACCCACAACATCTTCCTTACTGTTTTTGCGTGTTCTCATCTTTTGCTCTTATTATCTAACACCAGTAATTTACATTAATTGTTAAGATATAGTCTTGTTTTCATAAAGAGAAAAAGACATTTCAATTTTCATTTTAAAAGACGTTGTAACTCGATCATCAAAAATTCAAAACTAGTGAGAAAAAAGTAAAAGCAAAAGGAGTATTCTCATTCTTTGAAGCTGCTTACCACAAAGACGTATTCTCATTCTCATTCTTTGAAGCTGCTTATCACTTTATATTACTTCTAGTACAAGAAAAAAGTGCCTCTTCCCATTTGCGTAATGGATGCAAGTGTTAGTGTTGACCCTCTCTATTCTAACATGTAGAAACGTAATTACAGAATAATTGTTTGGGTATTCATTTTAGTAAACTAGAAAAAAAAAATACTCTTAACATTAACTATTAACAAATAAGAAAGCAAGTCGAGGATTGCCCTGACAGTTATGATAATCCTCTTAAATTCGAGAAATTTTCATTGTGACTGAAATGGATGGTACACCACGTGTTTTTATACAAGTGGTTGAAAATTGTATTTTTAAGTTATTAACTTTTTAGCACAGATAACCCACTATTTGATAATGACATGTGATGTAACACTCCGTGTTTAATTGTATTGAAAAATCTCTCCTTAATTTCATTGCGTCTTGGATTCACACTATTTTTCTCATTAGTCAGTATAAAATAATAATATTGACAAACAACCGGATTTTTATTATTATTTTTTTCTATGAAAACTTTACACAACTAAAATCAGGTGGTCTGAACTCTGAAGGTGCATTTGCGATTTGGAAGGAGGATTCTCTCTCCTTTTAATTTTTATTCTCTTTCCTCCCCTCCTATTTGAAGGGTTACAGTTTAACTACGTTACTATTTTATATTAATTTTTTTATAGAAATAATAAGATAAAAAATAATATGTAAAAGAAAAAGAGGGAAGGAGATGAGAATAAAAGGAAATCCTCTCCCTTGGGATTGGTTTATCTTCTTTGTGGATGGGGTGATCATCTCGTTCTACCAATAGGTGTCCAATATTTTATTCGTTTCACTACACCAGAATTTTCACTTTTAGGCGGATACTCCTGTCATTTCGACAGGTTTGTATATTTGTCAGGGGTGTACGGACCACATTCATGTCATATAGGATGGTTTGTGTTTGTCAGGGGTGTAGGGACCACATTCTCGGCCCCAATAGGCGGAAAAAGAAGAATAAAAATATTCACCCGGACATTTGACGGAAAAACAATGTTAAATAATATTCACTCTGGCCTGGACTTTTGACGGAAAAACAATATTAAAAAAAAACAAGAAGAATAAAAATATTCACCTGAACATTTGACGGAAGAACAATATTAAAAAAAACAAGAAGAATAAAAATATTCACCTGAACATTTGACGGAAGAACAATATTAAAAAAAACATAAGAATAAAAATTCACCTGAACATTTGATGGAAGAATAAAAATATTCACCTGAACATTGACGAAAAACAATATTAAAAAAAAAACAAGAAGAGTAAAAATATTCACCTGAACATTTCACGAAAAAACAATATTAAAACAATGTTAAATAATATTCACTCTGGCCTGGCCTTTTGACGGAAAAACAATATTAAAAAAAAAAAAGAAGAATAAAAATATTCACCTGAACATTTGACGGAAAAACAATATTAAAACAATGTTAAATATTATTTCACTTTGGCCTGGGCGTTCGATGGAAAAACAATATTAAAACAATGTTCAAAATATTCACTCTGGGAAAATGATGTTTCGAAGATGTAGTCCTACTTCCCATTCATACACCACCATGTCTATATATAATGACAGGCCGCCTACTCTTCTGCCCAACATCACCGCCGCACAACACCCAGTTGCATTGCTTCACTCACAAGATCATATTTCTGGTTCACAAAAGTAAGTCCCCTTTGTTCTTTGTGCTTTCATTTTGTGTGTGCAGTTCTGAAGTAACAGCGTTTTTTAGCTCGCATTTCACTCGTTACCATTTGAATATCTGCTTGCCATCTTAAGTACTGTCTTAAGCTTGACGGCCGCTATTGCCCGTATTCTTCGTCGCCAATTTCTGTTTTGGAGTGTTCTCCTTTGCCGGAATTTCAAAAACAAAAAGAACAAAAAAAAAAAAAAAAACAGAGCTCTCGTCTTTCAAAAAGAGAAAACAGAGCTCTTGCGTCTGTGTGTGTGTGTGTGTGTGTGTGTGTGTGTGTGTGTGTGAAGGTGTGACGAGTCTTTGATCTGAATTTTGTTTTTGTGTTCCTCTGTGCAGAAGTTTCATATATACACATATGGATCATGTCGCAGAGATTGCTGTTAGCGTCCCTTTACGTTCGGAACTGGAAGGGTAAGTGTTTACTCTGCTTGCCTTTTTTCTTCTTTTCTTTTTTTTTTTTTTTTTTTTTTTTTTTTTTTTTTTTTTTTTTTTTTTTTTTTTTTTTTTTTACTTTTACGTGGGGAAAATGATGGGAAGACCATAAAGAACTGATTAATTAGCAACTAATCTATACAACTCAGCTCTTGATAACTCTAGGCAATTTTTTGAGAAATTAAGAGCGTCAAATGACTAGGTCGATTCATTATTAACATTGAAGAAAATGGCAGCTTGTTAGGTGCCATGTTACAACTTACCTACTTAATCAATTGATTTGAGATGATATATTGGCTTGATTAGATTATAATATATTATACGTTCTTAATTAGTTGATTACAGATGATATATTGACTTGATTAATTTATAGATGTATCATACGCTCTCAATTAGTTGATTTCAGATGATATATTGACTTGATTAATTTACATATATATTGACATGTGATGTGTACAACAAACATCCAATGAGATAAATTCATTAATTGACGTGGTATGTACACATCACTGTCACATCATATTAGTATGTGATACAAAAATATGGTCACCCTAGCATTAGTTGAGATTACAATATATATTGTAGATGATTCATTAATGCAATTCCATTTAATTTTCTCATTGTCTTTAAAGAAGTGAAGTCTAAGGCAAAATATATCCTATCCATGCTAGGTAATGAAGCCAGGAAAATGAGTTTCTGTTCAATACGGACTACCCGGTTATGGTGTCCCTAATCGTTACGCTAATTGTTTACATCGGATCACTAATTGGCTCTATAATACTTCATGTGCAAGCTCGCCCTAATCGGATTTGGCAGAATCAATCATCAATAAGATTAGCCTCCTCCTTGGAACTCTTGCCTTGATTTTAGAAGTGGTGATCCTTGTACAAGGTTTGGGGCTAGTTGTCGGATTCTTCTGGGTTGTTTGGTTTGTGAAGATTGTAGTTGAGTACACCTGCGAATACCTCAAAACGTTGTATAAAAATGCAGTTGCATCAGTTGTTCAGTTCATTTGGCAAATTAAGAGACTATCTGAACATGATTATCCGACGTTTCGCAACGAAACCCAAAGAACAAACTAATGAGCTTCCTCAAGTAACTTCTACCAAGGTTTAAATCTGGGTATAGGCTTGGGGTATTATTTTTACTCGTTAATTTTTTATGTAATTTGTACTTGTTCATGACTAAAAGTAGGAGTAGTTTCAAGTATAGAAGAGCAGCTAGGAAGCTATATATAGGATGTACTTACGCATGATGAGGTGAAGAGGGGGGTATTATTGCTCATAGCTATAGGAAGAGTCTCAACTGGTTGAATCGTCATATTCAATTATTCATATATCGTGTTGTACAACGGCAAAAGCTTTTCCGGATGAATAAGAATCTATTAACGAGGGTTTAAATCCAAAGCAAACCAACCATTTTATATTCATATATCGTGTTGTACAAGGTACAAAGCCTGTCCTTTCTTTTTCCAATAAAAGGTAAAATATAAAAGCATTTTTCTTTTTCCAATAAAAGGTAAAAGATAAAAGCATTTTGAGATATTCTGCAACATGCATTTTCTCATTTGCTGATATTCTACAACACGCACCTTCTCATCAACTCTCTCTCTTTATATTACTTGTAGTATAAGAAAAAAGTGCCTCATCCTGTTTATATTGATGATCTATTCTAACATGTAGAAACGTAATACAAAATAATTGTTTGGATTTTCAGTTTAGCAAACTAGAAAAAAACACTAAAACATTTAATAGAATAAACTTGATATAAGTCCAATTTTGTGAGTCATTATTGGGTTTAGTCCCGTTTGTTGGACTAGGTCCATTATCCACATCAGTTTTTTTAATTATATTTTTTATTTTTTACTTAATTTTAGAATTAAATATTGTTTCTCATTTTTCCTGCTGCTAATTCGTATCTCAATTTTTTCTTCTACTGCCATCATAGGTTAACTTTGTTAACTAATCTTGTTGTAGGTGGATTAATTTATCATATAATTTTTTTTAAGCTATTTTCCATGAAAGTGGTCAAATTTTTATATTCAAATTAAAATTTTGAGTAAAGATGCATAAATTAAAAAACTTAATTGAA